AGCAAGAGAGCTGTCCGGTAGACCTTCCAGGCCTCCACCCACGAGTGGTATGAAGATGGGCCCGGCTGCTCCTTCTTAGACCACTCGCCCGTCGCCACGTTCAGGGTGTAGCTGGTGAACGTTTGTTTGCGAAGCAGGCGCAAGCCGTGAGGGCCGAACAAGGAGAAGTCCGCGTAGGGAACCGACCCTGCCGCCACCACTTGCTTAAGGGACGCCAGCTGGTCTGCCGAAGGGTCCGCCTCCACACTCGGATGGTCCCCGAATTTTGCCTTGTAGTCGGCATAGAGCTTCTGAATCTCGAGGTTGCCAAGGGAGACCACGTCGGCGTCGAGGGTGGGGTCCAGAACAGCCGACAGCTTGAGGCGACGGCTTCCGGCGCCTGCTTGTCCACCCGGCGCAGGTGCACCCGGTCCTGCCACAGGAGCGGGTGCCGAAGGCCCAGGCGTGCCCATAGAGTCCGGCGGGATGCCCATCCTCAGTAGAGCCACCCTCCTGGTCGACTCGATACGGGCCTGCTCCACCAAGGTGAGGTCACGGAGGGGCCCGGAATTTCCCTCAGCGTCCACGGAGCCAGGAACGTGGAGGGATGCAGCCATCGTGTCCCAAGCCGGCCTAGGCACGAGGGCGAGCTCTCTGACTCGGGCCGGATCTCCTAGGGCTTTCCTGAGGGATTGTTCCAAGAACCCGGTCACGCCGGCCCATGTGAAGACGCCGGCCAGGTCCGTGATGGCGTTCAGCTCCGTCTCCGTCGGATCCATGGTTGAGAGCTGGGCCCTCGTGAAGTACCGGGCCCGGTGTTGCTGCTCTCCGGGTCCTCCTTTTCAAGTTGGGCTTGGACTCGGGCGCGTTCCTCAAGGAGTAGGTGCCCAGGTGTGCAAAAGCCAGAGAAAGGCGCCTCCGGCTGCGCACGAAGTTGATGGCCCTCTGGGCTACGCGTGCCCAACGAGTGGCCGGAGCGAGGTGTGCCGGCGGAGCCCGGGCCGCTGCTGTGTCAGACCCACCCGTAGGGCGACGGCAGACACAACCACAGCAGAACCCGAAGACCCAGACACACAAGCACAGGCTAGTGAGGGGCACCCAATCCCAGGAGCCCTCTAAGTACACGAGTGGGCCACCGAAAGCGACGCCCAACCCACGTGTCTCAGAGACGACCACCAGGTCCATGCACCCCCACCTGTCGCTGAGATCCACCCTTAAAAGACTCGGGTGTCACTCTTGACCCAAAATGGCCACGAATGACACAGTGACCCCACCATCCACGTTTACGATTGTCACTACAACAAGCGCAAGCTTAAGTTTTGCACCACAAACTCAAGGAACCCTAGAGGCCACTAACGTCCTTTGCAATGTTCGCCCTCAGCCAGCACTGGAAAGGAAAATAGCCTGAGTTTTTGTCGCTTCGCTGACAAACTGCGATGCTTTGCATAGCTACGGGCCTCATGTCATGTCTGAGCGGCTTCTGATTCTAAATTTTTTGAGGGCATGAAGGTGCGGCATCGGGAGGGCAGAGCTTCGACATGCATCACGGTCGTCAAGGCTTCTAGCTCCTTGCACCTCATTTTGGCTCGAGCAGCGGTAGAAGATGACGAAGCCATGGCAGTGCTCGTGCCTGGGAACGCAAGCAAGTGTCGGAGAAAGATCCCCTCCTGGCGCATGGCCTCGCCGAATACCCTCGAAGGGACTGCAACAAGTACTAAGGTTTCTAAGCTCTCGAGACTGGATTCACAGCCAAAGCTGGCCGAGGAACTTGTTGCACTGCATCGCACACTGGTCGGCGGTCTTTACGACGACGCGGACCTGTGAAAGCCTGGCTGCCCGCCATGCACATCAGTAGCAGCCGAATGACCCGCCGTAGCTTCTCTACGCCCATGCTTCCGTTCCTTCATCAAGGCTCTGGCTTCACGCCAGCTGGTGATTCCTGCCCCTACCCCCCTTGACCGACGAGCAGCCCGGCCGATGTGGCGCCACGATGGTCGAAGCCTGGGTGATGATCGGTGTCCAACTGTGGATTATAGGCTTGCTGCTCATGGAGGAAGGCTTCGATGAAAATTCGATGAGTTGAACAGTGCCACGGGGGAACTCACGCCACTTGATCCAGCTTTCTGCCATGTAGAGTGCGCCTTTTACGTATAGCAAAGCCTGCTGGCCCTGCGCACATGTGCGAAAACAAAGGTCTCAATGACAAGAAGCAATTCACGTGGGCGAACTCAGTGTAGCCTCGCAGCAGCTGCACCAGCTTTGTGCAAAAGGGCTTGTGAAGACACCCCTCGCGCCTGCGACGATGTGCAGGTTGTCCACCTCGCCCTCCCAACACTCTGGCACGCGCATGGGGACGTGCATGGGGACGCGCATGGGGACGCGCATGGGGACGCGCCGGCCAACAAGAGCAAGCTCAGGAAACCCCTAGCATGGAAGTGGAAGCTGACGGCCTGAAACGAGCAGTCGTTGCAACAAGCATCTGTTGAGTTGAAGCCTTGAAGATCAGTCTGTCAAGGGGCGGTCTGACCTGCCAGGGCAAGGAAGTCTCTTCACAGGGGTCGCGAATACAAACCGAGGTGTTTGAGACCATGCAGTGCTGTCTACCAGCTCTTAGCCTTGCTGTGCGCATTTCCACCTGAAGCTCCATTGAGGTGAAGTCTGAATGTCAAGAAGATCCACGCCATGCCTCCGACCAGCCTATGACAAAAAAAGCCTCCACCCCTCCCACGCTGAACAGCCACTTCCCGAAGGCCTCTCCGTCCGTCTCCGAGGAGGGCCTCGGTCCTTCGCGCAAAAACTCGCCACGAACAGAAGAAGAGAGAGACGAAGAGCGAGGACGAAGCGCGGCTGCAAAGCGCCTCGGAGGCCAAGGCCGAGGCCGCCGAGGCCAAAGAAGGCGCCGAGGCCCAGGAGGCCAAAAGCGACGAAAGCGACGGCGGCGGCCTGGCGAGGAGTCCCTGCCGGGGGCCCTGCACTGGGCTGGGAGGCGGCTCTTGCGTCGCATAGCGCCTTCGCCAAGGGCCGCGCAGGCAGCCCGTGAGCTGCCGGGCCTCAGAGGGCGCGTCGCGCGTCGACGTTGCGTCGCTTTCTTTCTACCTGTAACAGGTTTGAACTAACCCTGCACTGATCCTGGCCACTATCTTTCACACTCGTCTCTCGCTTCTGAGCCTTTCCGTTTCTCCCACTCTTCACTTTCAAGATTGACCGCCTTCGCAAGGTGGTGATGCCAACGGCTCTGCTTCCTTCCAGGGTGAGACTTCGTCCTTTACTGCCAGCGACTTTGCGGCATCCTGCAACTGGCCTCGCAAGGCCCAGTCAGCGCTTGCCGCGAGTCCAACACTTCCGGCTGTGATGGCGGCATTGCGGAGCCCGGAAGAAAGGGCATAGCACTGCAGGAACTGAAAGGGGCGTTGCTCAACAATCTGTGCAATCGGAGCTAGTCGGGGGACTGGGGAATCGGGAATATTCTCTCCACCCTGTTGTGGCCCAGATATTTGGAGTTAGCTCTGCGATGGATTGGTGCCCTCCCAATGCTAGGCAATGTCGGGTGGGCAGTGGGGTGATGTGACCTTAAGATGCAGAATGTCAGACGGCCGATCACCGCAGGCATGCACCGAAAGACTCCCTTCCACCCAATTTCCCTTTGAGGAAAGCTCCAAGTCCAAGGCTAAAGCCCGAACTGAAACGTGGTCCACAGCTTTCGAAGCCCCAACCGAAGCCTCGGCGGGCGCCTCCGTGAGCCACTTGAGCCTCGGTGAGAGCCGGAAGCGGCGGGGCAGGAGCCGGTTCTGTGAAAGTGCGCCCTCCTTGGATGAAAAATGGACTTCCCCAAGGAAGCTAGGCCAGCGCGAAGCAAAACACGCCCCTTGGGCAGCGGCAAGAGGCCCTGGAGCTTGTTCGCTTTTGGAGCTTGCAAAGCCGGCGCAACACCTGTGTAGAAAACTTTTGGAGGCGTTGCTGCCGTCTCTGAGCCTCAAGCTCTTTCCAAGATATCAATGCTGCATATCTGTACGGCGGACACCTCGAACCTGGGAATGATGTGGGGGGTGAAGATCGGCTTGAATTCTATTTTAACGAAACCTTTCCAAACATCTCGATCTCCCGTAAGCTCTTTCCAACCCCGAGAAAGCAGAGCCTTGGCTCTGACAGGGCACTCCTGGTTTCCAGCTGAGAAGCATTCAAAAAAGTCTGCATCCCCTTGCCACATCTCGGAGAGAAAAGTCCCGACTCTAAGTCCGCTCGATCCTCATCTCGATGCCAGTCCTTCTAGCGGGGCATAGGAACGTAGGAAGGGGCGCCCGGAACAGAATGGATCCGGCCGAGCGAGCAGAAATGGAATGGAACCCCGAAGGGCTAGTGAGTCAAGTCTTTGAGCAAAGGCCGAACTCTGGGAACCAAACATTTCGCTTTTTCCGGAGCATCAGAGTTCCAGCCGGTATGGCACAGCAAGGGACCCAACCGCCTTCCACACCTAGGCACCGACGAAAACGAGCAGAGCAACGGGCCAACCAATCTAACGTGGCTCCGGCTGGGTAAGAAACCAGAACAACCAATCATGAGCGCCAAGGCCGCCTTGTTTTAGGTCACTCAAAACAAAGTAGATACACATCGCAGGACCGGAGGAAATTTGAGACAACAGTCTGGGACAGCTGAGGAACAAAAAACAACTTTGGGACGAACGCCATCGAGCAAGGATGCAGGTGGCGCCCACTGTCGTTCTACAGAGCGACAACGCAGCTGCCAAAAGAACGAGGATTACGTCGTCCACCCGCTGCTATGACGGTTTGGAGTCGCCAAGTTTCCCACATACGGGCACAAACCATGCAATTTTGTAATGCAAGTAAGGAACTGGGAAGATGCGGATACGATCACCAGAGCCCAATGACCCTGGCCCGCAACACTCAAAAAGACACTTCTCCTGCCTGTGGCTGCATCCGGATTTGCGCAAGCCTTGCAGCAGGGGAGCGGCTTCGTCGCAACGGCCCTTGTTGCAAGTTGTAACAGCAAACTGCCTACGACCGGAGCTCTCTGCCTTACACAGGCAGACGAAGTTGAAATTCTGCTTCCTCGGCTACATGCTGTCCCTGCGTTACGGATGAGAAAGCTTGACGATGGTCTCGTGCGCAGAGAACTGAGGTTTGTGCAGATATCTTCGCCGTGCAGGGCGCGCAAGATCACACCAGGGCTTTCCAATGTAGCTGATGGTCAGCTCCTGCCAGCATGTCTCCGGCTGGAGGCATCTTACCAATGGAGACTTCCACGTTCAAAACAACCTCTGTACAGGTGCCAGCTGAAGCCAAGAATGGGAATGGACCGGACAGAGAGTCGAGAGGGATGCATTATGGGTGGGTCGATGTGGTCAGCGCAGGAGCAAAGTTGGAGAAAGAGAAAACAGGGCGATGCGAGGTGTCCCCCCTCGCGCCTCGCCGGAGCTCACCGCGCGCGTCGCGCGCAGCAACAGGCCTTTGGAGGCACTCCTTGGGAAGAACAGCAGCCGAGTCGGGGCCGAGTCTTGAGATCTTGGGCTATAACGGTGGGGGCGATGGCCACGGGCTTGGCCTCTGCGTTTCTATGCGGGGAGCTCTCGAATGCATTTGGGGGCTTTGGGGGCTTTGGCGCACTTAACCAGACCGTCACAGACGCTCTAGCAGAGAAAGGCAGTCTGCGCGCCGAGTGGCCAGGTCCAAGTCGCATTCGAGAGCCCAGCACAGCAATGATTGCAGAAGGACACCTCCAAGGACGGTTTCCCGGCTTTCGGGCTGTGGCGAAGTTCAAGGCACCCGGCCACCGCAGCCTGGTGAAAGAGCGCATCCCCTGCAGCAGGCGGCCGCGACTCCAGATCAACCACCTCCCAAAATACTTGGAATCGGAGCTTCGAAAAAAACAGGCTGAGGAAACTTTGAGAACTGGAGCACATGTCCCTTACCGAACTGGCTCTGCCGCTGTGAGTTTCAAAGTGACGGCACGCACCAACAACGAGTGTCGACGAGCACAGCATTCGCCTGGAAGCCGTTGCGTGCCACGCGGGCTGCAACTTCGTCTATGCCTCTGGCAGGAGCTTCGAGAGCGCCCGGCGGTTGAAGGCTTTGAAGCGTCAAGATGTCAGGGAGTGGGATCCCCAGATTTTACGCCCTCCCTGAAATTCCTGCACCGCTCTTGTGCAGCAGAGGCACGATGGGCCAAAGCGGGCTCACCAAGGTGTTCCTCGGTCGGAGGTCGCTATTCTGAGCTGTAGTTGCTACGCTTCTCGCTCAGAGCAGAGGTGCTGCTGTTAGCATCGCCAGCTCCGACGGCGAGCCGGCGGCTGCATCCTCGCCACCGCAAAGCTCCTCCGGCGTCTGCTGCAACACGTGGGTTGTCTTTAGCTGGGAACTTCTCCGCCCTGGCATGGACTGATGACTCAAGCCAACCCCGGCCCAGAGCTTGCAGAGCGTGCAATAGTGTGCACCTATGCTGCTGCAGCGTCGGTTTTTCGGGAAAAAACCCAAGCCGTAGCCGCGTAGCCGTGGACTTGCGACATGGCAGCAGTTTCCCTTTTTCGAGGCGGAAGCTTTTGTCTCTTTCCCTCCGCAAGCCTCTCTGATGGGCCGATTTCTCGTAAGCCGTGAGGGTGTGAAACCGTTCCGGGTCACCCCAGAACCCATCACTTTCGCGATTCCACCAGCTTAGCTGGCTGAGATCTGTCAGTCTTCGGCACATGGGGCTGCGCTAAGAGTCAGGCTGGAACGCGTCGAGGAGCACAGGCCCTTTCAGAGGATGTGCAAAGCGTACAAACAGGGTATCTGACTCGCAGACACTTTGCAACCCTCAAGCCGTCAGAAGTAACATAGCTTTGTCGCCATCCCTGGCTTAGATTCAGCGTTCCGCCTGCCCCGGGCTGACCCATCTGCCCAAGTAAAGGGCCTTCGGTCCAGAGGCACCCTGTTCAGCCAACCACAAGCAATGCACTCAACCCAAACTTCACGAAATGCGAAGCAGTCGGAAGATGTTCTGCCGCCACCTGTCCGTCTCCGGCCCCTTGCAATTGAGAGCGCCACTGCGATGCAAGCTGCACTTGAGCGAAGGAGTCGAGGAGCCCTCGCGTTGTCGATGCCCTGCTCAACCCGTTTCAGCTATGCTTGTTATGTTAGGCAAGTACTCCTGAACCCTTTCGCTGCGACATGCATTCCGATGGCTGAGGCTCTCGTGCTTGCCTTGAAAAGCGATTCTAAAAATATGAATTCACGCGGAGGGCCAAATGCCTTCTCTAAGCGAAGGCTGTGTCCACACGGACTCTGCCCACCACAGTGAGGTTTAAACAATACAACAACTGCATGCCTTCTACGGTTTGAGACTTTCTCTCGAAGCCTCCGATACGTGAAAACTTCGCGAGAGGATCCCAAATTTGAAACCTTCTGCTCACAAGTCGCGAGAGAGCGGCTATGGCAAGTGGTGGTCCTCGGCTCTGGTCTAAATCCTTAGAGAAGCCTGACTAGGACCCGTGCTCAACGTTTTCACAGAATGGCTGACAGGTGGCTTACGCTATGCCGTCCCAACGTCTCAAGGAGCGTCATTCCAAGCCGGACCCACGCCAGAAACTATAGGAAAGCCCAGCTCGCAACCACGGTGCATGTAATGGGTCGTCCGCTGCCAACATGGGTCTGGTCGTAGTTGGTTGCACTTCTCCGGAATTGCCTCAAAGTACTTCGCGGAAGCTTGCGGGGATTGCGGAGTCAGGGCGCCATCCGAGACACAAAGTGGCCTTCCCTGGGAATCCCGTCACTTCCCCGCCGAGCTGCTTGGGTCGTGGACAAAGGTTGTGGCCTGCACTCGCTGCTGACTGGCTCAGCTCGACTACTTGCACAACCTTTGCGGACTACAGTGCACATGTCGTGGCAACAGCCCCTTCGATGATGTACTTCCCCATCCCAGAATTGGCACTCAACTTTCGGGCACGGCTTGACTTTCTGCCTGCTGGCTTCGCAGCCATGGCAAAGCATCAGCTTCTTTCCCGTGATTCAAGAAGTGATATTCTTTTAGCCTGACACAGAGATTCAGGCTAGGCCTCTTCATCTCGATTGGTCAATGTCCATTGACATCTTAGATAAGCTTCGCTTTCACTCGCCAGTGTTGATTTCCCAGCAAATTGGGCACAACAAATCGTGAAACCCCATTACCGTCCTGCTCCTTGTCGTGACTTGGCTTAGCAAGTTTGGCTGGTCAGGTTGACTGAACGGGTTTCTTCCAGCATTTTGCCCGTGAAGCCAACAGGAAAGGGTGCCTTGATGTGCCGGAAGGCAGAGTGATCGAAGACCTCCTGAATGCCTGCCGGCCAAGATGGAATGCAGCAGCCTTCGTTCGGCCGCCCTTTCGCTTACTGCCCGCGGCCTATCGATCCTCCCTGATAGCGCCGCACTGCCGACCGGGCTCGCAAGTGTCCCTCGTCGCCCTCTTTCTAGAGCTCCCCCTAACAAACCCCAAATCAGACGACCCGCCCGAAGCTGCAACCGCCCCAAAGCCCGCTGCTCTCAGAGGCCACGGTGCTGGAGATCTTCCGCGCTTCCGGCGACTGCGGCTCCGTCACCTCCATCGTCTCCTCGCGGAGGAAAGCGGAAGCCAAGGCTCCAGTGCCGCAGAGGGAGGGCGTGGCTGTGCGGCTACGGCTGGGGAGCTGCATCTATGCATGTTCCGACCTCCAGACCTCTGCGATTAAACCCGTGCGTGAGGCTGAAACCCAAGAGACCGGGAACCTCCTTGTCGTCGCCCCGGAGGATGTGCAAGACCTCCTCGAAGAGCACCTCCACCTGCTTCGACAAGGCTCGGCCCTCGCTGGCCCTCGGCCCTCCGGTGCAGCCCTTGCCGCCCTTGCCTTGGTCTCCATCCGCCAAATGTCGATGGCCTTGGCATGGCCTTTCAGCCGCGAGGCGCCGTCGATAAATTCGTGGAGCCTCGGCCGGCGCGGCTGCTCGGGAGCGGCATGTGGGGATGCGGAGGGTTCTGTTTCTTCTTCATCTTCCTCCTGATCCTTCGGGTGTGCTACCTTCAGCGGAAGCCTGATATCACCAGGCTGCGTGATCTGACCATCACCATTGTCCTGCAACAGCAGCAAAGCCAAGGGCAACTCCAAACTGCTGCTCGGAAGACTCAGATTCGCAACCCTGCATCAGCAGTGTCCAGGAACTCAAAAAGGGACAACAGGTCGTGGTACTCGAGCCTGGGCTGGCAGGGTCCGCAACAGAAAATTGCCAAAACACCCCCAGAAGCCGCTGCTTCCAAAAGCCGGAGGGATCAAGAGCATTTGCACACAATCCCCGAAAACTGTTGCAGGACCTGCTCTCTCCTGTACAGTGTCTGTCTGAACCTCCACTGACAAGAAAAATCCAAAAAATGGACCGAAAGGGGACCGTCGGGCATCCTAGCAAGCCTTTTCACGGCTTCGGCCCTCATAGGATGCCTGCCAACATGACTCGCAATGTGCCCAGCAGCTCTAGCTGGCTCATCCAAAACCTGGCCAAGCACCACAGACGTCTTGATAGAATCTTGCATCACATGAGTGCGTGGATCCAACAGCCCTGGAATCAAGACAGGGTCAAAGTGACGTGTGGAATGTTAAAGACAAATGTGATAGCGGCATGGCAGCGAGAAGGAAAGACGGAACGAGGACAGTTGAGAGAGAGAGCACGAGTCCAAGTCTCAATGCAATCTGTGTGTGTGTGTACACGCCTGTACATGGCGACCGCAGCGCATGTCAAGCTTCCCTTCTTAAGGGTTGCAGGGGGGCAGAGGGAGTGTGGAGGGGCTCTGCCCAACGAGCTCCCTTCCACACTCCAGGCAAACGTACCTGCACGCATCCGCCCTGGGTCCCAGGTGGACAGCTGGGGGATGCTCTCTAACTCCTTCATCTCATTTGGTATGCCATTCCTTGAGTCTGGCATACCGGGGCAGCACCCAACCCCAACGGATCATCAGTTTTAGCATGCCATTCCTGGTGTCTGGCTTGCTTACGCACCAAATTGCATCGTCCTTCCATGTCCCGCTCCTCTGTTCTTCCATCGTCTTGTCCTGTCTGTCTACCTTTGCATCAGTTCGTGCCAAGCCAAAGTGTGTGTGTGTGTGTGAGCGGTCCTCGTTCATGAACTATGAGAGGTCACTCTCCAAATTTTCATCTTTGCACTGGGGACGCAGGGGGTGCAGATGAGCTCCGTCCAACGAAGCTCTCCCCTTCACACCAGGAAAACGTACCTGCTTTGCCTGCGCCTGGGCCCCGTCGTGGGCAGCTGGCGGGACACTCACCTTCGTTCATCTTCCATCTCATTTCGTGCTACGTCGTTCCTCTGTGTCTGACGTAGCAAGGAGCAGAAACCTTACCCCTGACCGATGATTTCACCTCGTTTTCGTCTGCCATTCCCTTGGTCTGGCATACTTGGCACCAAAATTCTCATCTCATCATCTCATGTTCATCAGCATCATCATCATCATCATATACATCATTTTGTTTCATTCAAATCCATCCGGGAGTGCAGACAACACTTATTCAGCGTGCTACAACGGCTTCCCGTCACCACGCCATGGTGGTCTCCATTGGGGGCAGTCCTCGTCGAAGGGGATCCGTTGTCGCCCTTCGGGGACCATCTCTCTCGGCCACCCGATTTGAGGCCCAAGGTACCTTCATCTGAGTGTACGGGAACCCTCTCACCTGCCAAAAGGTGAGACATGAGTGACTACACAGGACGGCATATGCATCTGCTAGAGTTGTCGGTGTGCGAGCTGCTACCTCCGCCGTCTAGTCTGTCTCGCCTTCTTCTTTTCGATACTCCTCTCTATTCAGCCTCTGAGCATCACTGGACAGGAGCCGGAAGCGTTCTGCTGTAACGCGCTAATGTAGTAAAGTGGTAATGCAGTAAAGTGCTAATGGATTCAGTCGCGCAATGATCAAATGGTCTGGTACCAGTATGCGCCCCTGACAAGGGGCACTGTGTGTGTGAACGGTCCTCGTTCATGGACTATGGGAGGTCACTCTCCAAATTTTCATCTCTGCACTGGGGACGCAGGGGGTGCAGATGAGCTCCGTCCAACGAAGCTCTCCCCTTCACACCAGGAAAACGTACCTGCTTTGCCTGCGCCTGGGCCCCGTCGTGGGCAGCTGGCGGGACACTCACCTTCGTTCATCTTCCATCTCATTTCGTGCTACGTCATTCCTCTGTGTCTGACGTAGCAAGGAGCAGAAACCTTACCCCTGACGGATGATTTCACCTCGTTTTCGTCTGCCATTCCCTTGGTCTGGCATACTTGGCACCAAAATTCTCATCTCATCATCTCATCTTCATCAGCATCATCATCAACATCATGTTGTTTCATTCAAATCCGTCCGGGAGTGCAGACAACACTTATTCAGTGCAATCAATGTGTGAGTCATCAGTTAATGGGTGAGTAAAGCCAGCGACACCACGATTTGCGTGTACCGCCGACGACGATCAAAAAAAAAAGACAGGCATTCCATTCCTTAAGCTGGAAACTTCCTGTCCCAAAACGCCCCAGAGCAAGCCTCAGCTTCGGTGACTTCACCAACTTCCTTGGCACAGCGCTTCGGAGGGCTCCGCTCAGTGGTTCTTCCTTCCGGCCCAAGGAGTCTCGCCGCTGATTCTCAACGGAGTGAGTACTCTTGGGGCCCCAGGAGAAGCTTCAGCAGGCAGGACTCGGACAGCACCGTCGAAAACCAT